CTCCAAGGTGCCCTGGTGAGGACAGCCTGGTGCAGGGTCAGGACATTCTGCGATTCGTGTATTTCAATCATATGAAAGCTATTAAACTGAAAATCTGATGAAAGTTATGGATACAGGTATATTTGTAAATAGGTATATTTTGCCTATCATTTTAGAGAAGTCATTGAGCCACAAAACCACAAACCTCAAGATAAAAATCTACTTTGGAAAACATGGCAATGGAAAAGCTTCTCAGATTTCTTTGGACTCAGATTGATGTTAAACCTTTAAAATTACCTTATCTTACTTTATCTTTTCTCCTTGCTCCTGTTCTAAAGTTAACTGAGGTAATTTTTCTTTTTCTTTTGCCTTGGAAGTGAAATTGCCATGCTATTCTGGATCTAATTAGGTCCTAATATCTGGGAAAATGTTGTAACAACTTGTAAACAACAAGTTTATCATTCAAAATAAAAAGAAATTACATTATTATTTCTTTGGAAAGAGTTATCTCTAAGAATGAAATCCCGACAATGTAAGTTTCTTCTTTTAATAGCTATTGCTATTAGAGCATTACATTTATATTTGAAAGAAATTTTATTTTAAAAAGTCATATAATTACTAGCAAAACCTTTTATTTTCTAATCATTTAGGGAATATGATGGGCTGGAACAATAGCACAGTGGGTAGGGCGTTTGCCTTGCGCACAGCCAATTCCTCTCTCGGAGAGCCCGGCAAGCTACTGAGAGTATCCCGCCCGCACGGCAAAGCCTGACAAGCCCCCCGTGACATATTCAATATGCCAAAAACAGTAACAACAAGTCTCACAATGGAGATGTTACTGGTGCCCGCTCAAGCAAATCGATGAACAATGGGAGGACAGTACTACCGTGCTTAGGAAATATGATCCTCTAATAACATCCTGCTGATGCAAATTTTGAATTAGAGATGGTCCTCATGCTTTCTGTGCTTTTCTGGTGACCCAACGAAGCTAGTAAAAGTCCTCTTTATTTCCAGGTGTATTTTGTAATATTTAAGAACTAAGGTCTTTGGAAAGTTATTCTGTACTTGGAGGGAACACCAATTTACAAAATATTCTAGTTGTGGTAAAGTCAGTAGCTCATTCATTCAGTGAACAAGTCATTATTTATAATATAACAATTTATTGTAGCACTGTAGCACTGTCCTCCCATTGTTCATCGATTTGCTCAAGAGGGCCCAGTAACGTCTCCATCGTGAGACTCGTTGCTACTGTGTTTGGCATATAGAATACATCACGGGTTGCTTGCCAGGCTTTGCCATGCAGGCGAGATACTCTCAGTAGCTTGCCCGGCTCTCCGAGAGGGGCTGAGGAATCGAACCTGGGTCGGGTGGGCCGGCTGCGCAAAAGGCAAATGCCCTACCGCTGTGCTATCACTCCAGCCCAACAATTTATTATTACTTTATTTTTGTAGGTACCAAGGATAGTATGGTAAAAAGAACTGGTAAAATCCCTATGATAACTGAGCTTTGTTGGTATTGAGAATAAGCAAGTAGATTTACAGTTAGTGATGTAGTCTATTATCAGTTATAAGAGGGTGAAGAGATCAGGATAGAAGTGGTACAGTTTTGAGTAGAAAATTGAATAAAACCTCTGAAAATGGTCTGAATACTGTAATAGGAATGTTTACTTGCCTGAGAAAGCAGAAGGCAAGTGGTAAGTGTATAAATGCAGAGGTGAAGAATGGTAAGAATGAGGTGGGAGAGTTATTTAAATTCTGGCGGATGAAGATTTTGAACTTCATTTAAAGTGTGAGGGGGAAAAAAGTGTGAGAGGATGTCATTAGAAAGATAAGAGCAGGGAAGAATCACAGTCTTATGTTTTAAAAGTGTCAATTTGGCTGTTATGTGGACAATAAGTGGCAGCAAGCAAAGCAGGAATACTAATGTAGTGAGATGTTTATTATCTGGTGACCTGAAATCACTGTCACTGTCCTGTCCTCCCATTGTTCATCAATTTTCTCAAGCGGGCCCAGTAACGTCTCCATTGTGACACTTGTTACTGTGTTTGGCATATCGAATATGTCACGGGGACCTTGCCAGGCTTTGCCGTGCTGGCGAGATACTCTCGGTAGTTTGCCAGACTCTCTGAGAAGGGCGGAGGAATTGAACCTGGGTCAGCCAAGTCGGCCGCGTGCAAGGCAAACACCTTACCTGCTATGCTATCGCTCCAACTTGACCTGAAATACATCCACTAATAATATAACGATTTTCAACAAGAATCATTGAGTTTTAACCTTGTGTGGAAAAAGAAATTAGTTATGTGCATGACTCTATAGTTCTTAATGTTTTGATTTATTTATGTAGATCTACTGAGAACATAAATCTTAGCATTTTGAAATTAATCCTTATCATTGATGTCTTTAGAAATTAGTTCCCCCCTGCTTAAATTTTTATTAAAAATGTTAGTAGAAAACTTGGGTAATAAAAAATTAGCAATACTTATTACCTATATATAGTATTTCCATCAACGTTTTTGTTTTGACTTTTTAGTTCACTTTTACTGAGAAGTAATCGACATATATCACTGTGTAAGTTCAAGACACAATGATGGTTTGATATAGTTATGTTGTTAAATGATTACCACAATAGGTTCAGCTACCATCTATCCAAATAGATACAACAAAAACTAAAATAAAGGAGGAAAGGAAAAAGAAAAAAATTAACCTTATAATGAAAATTGTTAAGATTTATTCTTTATGCAATATTCCTGTATATCATACAGCATTGTAGCTACAGTCTTCATGTTTGACATTATGTCCCTAGTACTTACCTTATTTCTGTACTTTCAAATCATACTCCTCCAATTCCTCTCTTCCCAAACTCCCATAGCCACAGGCCTGATTAATTAAGTCCTGCTAATAATTTTATATTAGCAGCATTTCTGGAAGCTTGCTGTTGCTGCTTTATTCTGCATTTAGTACAATAGCCAAGATATGGAAGCACCCCAAATGTTCAGCTATGCATAAATGGATCAAGAAGTTGAGGTCTATATACACAATGGAATACTATGCAGCTCTAAGAAGGAACAAAATCATAATTTGCCACATCATAGGTGAAACTAGTGCATATCATGCTGAGTGAAGTCAGTTAGAAGGAAAGGGACAGATACAGAATATGTGGGAGAGATTTCATAAGTGTATTTAAAGGATACACAGCAAGGCAGCAAAAAAAAGGCCAAAGGGAACACAACAGAATTAATTCACACACAACTGAGTTTGTGAGGGGAAGGGGGTACTTGAGAAGGAGGGGGCATTGAGAGAGGTAGGTGAGTATACTAGTGATGGGTTGAAATTATGAAATTATGTACGTTGAAATTATGTAAATGTGAGGTCATCATTAACAAATGCAAAATGTTTTCCGAAGTTCTTACAGATTTTCCTCTTTCACTAGCAGTGGAGGACGTTCCTCACTGCTCACCTGGCATTAACAGCTTTAGAAGTTTACCAGTCTGGTGGTATGAAATGATATCTTAGAATGATATGAATGTAAATTTCTTTGACTACTAATGAGGTTGAAGTTATTTTTTATGTTAAAGGTCTGTACTTAGTTCTCTGAAGTTCCTATTGGCTTCTGTTTCCCATTGGTGAGGATAAACTTAGGAGTCCTCTAGGGCTCCTCCTGGCATGGCAATTTGGGTTCACTCTTGTTGGTGCTCAGGCAATCATTTAGTACTGGAGATTGAATCTAGACCTTCTAGGTGCAGAGCATGAGCTCTGGAACTCTGATATTTCTTCACGGCTTCTGCTTCCTACTTTTCTTTTTTTCCCCTTTTTTATTTTTATTTTTTATTTTTGCTTTTTGGGTCACACCCGGCGATGCACAGACTCTGCACTCCTGGCAGTGCTCAGGGGACCATATGGGATGCTGGGAATCGAACCTGGGTTGGCCACATGCAAGCAAACGCCCTATCCACTATACTATCACTCCAGCCCCTGCTTCCTAGTTTTCAGTTACTTCTCTATGCTACGTGTCCACGTTTTTCTTTTTACTCTTGGAATACATATGTATATTCACATATAAATGCATATAGATGTGTGTATGTATGATATTCTAGATCAGAGGTTTCCAGACATTTTTGGCCTCGCATCTGTTTTCAGAAAAAAACTTCACAAATTCACTTAGTCTTTATTTCTGCTTCCCCCACCCCTCCCCCAGAAAATGCACCTTTTTAAGCAAGTATCTTCCTGGCTATTTGAATATGGGAGGTGAGGAAGAAGGAAAATAAGAATTACTGCCAGGTTTCTGGTTTGGGAAGGAGTGAACAATGATGCTATTAACCTTGAACATAGAATAGAGTATAACAAATAAACCTAGGGGAGGGGAAATTAAGATATTTTGGAGTTTGAGGCTGGAAAGGTAGTACTGTGGGTAAGGCCCTTGCACAGAGCTGATCTGGGTTTGAGCCTCTGTGTCCTACATGGCCCCTGAGCACCACCAGGAGTGATTCCTGAGTTCAGAGCTATCGTTTGTTTATATAAACATATAAACTATATATATGTACATATATATAAAAGTTTAAGTGTGGGGGCGATAGTACAATGGGTAGGATGTTTGCCTTGCATGCTGTCGACCCGGGTTCGATCCCCGGCATTCTGTGCGGTCCCCCGAGCACCACCGGGAGTAATTCCTGAGGTCAGAGCCAGGAGCAACCCCTGAGCATCACCAGTTGTGACCCAAAAAGAAAAAAAATGTTTAAACGTCCGCTGAGATATACAGGTAGAGTTATTTCATAGAAAAAGATAGAAAGTTGATAAGAGCCTGAAACATAGAGGCCAAAGCTCTGTTATGCGACGATTCAGTCTTGTGAGAATTTATGTCTCCTTTCTGGAGACCACGACTGGAAGTATTCTGAAACTTATTTGCCCTCTGCTCATCCCAAGGCTCTGCATTCATTAATCTTTTTCATGTAAGATAATTGCTTCATCAAATGATCCACTAGACACTTCATCTTATTTATAATTACTTTATTTCATTTTCTCAACAGCTATCTTAATATTTTTAGGGGGCACATTTTAAGAAACCCAGCTTATTTGTCTTACAAAACAAGAAGTTTAAAAAATTTCTTCTATTGCTTGTTCATGGGTAGTCCATACATGTCAAAACAAACAAACAAACAAACATTAAAAACATACACCTAAGATGTCTTTTACAGGCTGTCATTAAAAAATACACATTTGTATATACATTTCCCGACATATGTACATATATACAAGAAATATTTGGAATTATTTATATATCACTATTGGTTAAATTCTAGTGAATGACCACTGAATAGCTCAGGTAATTACCATTTACCTCGCTGCATCAGTGGTAGCAGCTAATGTGTAACTATGGTTGGTCATGTTTTAGGAGAACTATGATCCAGTGACAGTTAACATTTGCTATATATTGTATCTAGGCAAATAATGTCAGAGGCAGCCTCTTTCTGGTCCATTTTATTGGAGCAGCAATTATACTTCTCCGCACTCGATGAGTTCTTTTAGACCTGTGGGAAGATAAAAGTATTGTAAAGTTTGATACTCTCAACTCTGGCTATGCTCTGGGTTCTACTTGGAACTCTTAAGTTCAGAGATATCCTCCAACTCCTCAGATGAAGAATATGCATAGCTTTCCTGCTGCTACACGATTATTGTGATACAGGGACTGCTTTTTCTAAGACCCCAAAAAACATAGGAGAAATTTGCCAGCTTTGCTTAAGTACTTGTAGCTCAGCTTCAGAGTTAAGACAACCTATTTACACTTGGAGATAAGACTTTTGATACCACATGGTTGGCATCTGATTACTTAAAGAAGTGGATCAGGAAGGGCATAGTGATAACTTAATGAAGGATCTCACCAGAAAACATGTTGCAGATGTTTCTAACTTCCCAAGATTGACATTTTAAAAAGAGAAGTTCTTCTGAAAGCAACAATAAGCCTACCTTCTCTTTCTTAATTCTTTCAACAACTTCTTGATGTTCTTAGATTCTGGATCCAGGCATCTTTTCTCTCCATTCCTTTTCATGACGGCACTACAGAAGTAGAGAAGTGAAGATACTTAAACAATGTTGGGCCAATAAAACCAATGGAATATACAATTTTTAAAGTCAAATTTTTGAGATTCACGCTGATGTTTCTCTTTGCAGAAGCCATAGAATCACTGTAAAACATTAATTGTCTCTTGTGACACTTACTACATGACTACAAGCAGGGATGGAGACATTATCAAATAGAGTTTACTCACATTATCTCAACCTGTGGGCAAAACTGACTTGCAGGAATCACTTCAAGTTTTTCTAAAGACCTTGGGTTAACAGTTTGATTACTCATCTTGATGCACATACAGCGTATAGTTTTAGAGAGAAGTACTCCTGTGAAGAAAAGATACAGCGGGGGTGAGGGGGTTAATTTTAGGCCTTTATGTAGATTGGGTATTGTAGCAGAGTTGTGTAGTGTAATAGCAGAACCTACAGTATCTATGTTGTCACACAGCCACTTAATCTGAGAAAGCCATTATAACATAACCTTGATTGATAGGTTGATTATCTAATCAATTAAAAATGCAACTTGATGTCATGCCCATAAGCATAGTGTGTGTGATTAATTAAAAGGATCTAACTCAAGGAAATCTCTGCCTCATTCTATATCTCCTTTTTTGTCTCATATTTTTCCTTTTTTTCCTTCCTCTTCCTTTTCAACTCCCACCTTTCTTCTCTCTCTTATTTCAATTGCTTCTTTTGCTGGAAACTTAGGACCACCGCTAATCTCTGCTTATTAATAGTCAATTCTATTTCTTATTTTATAAATTAAATACCCCATCGATTCTCCTTACCTTGATACCCATTCAGAGCCATAAAGATAAGGCATAAAATTAAAACAGTTCTTTGGTTCATGGTGCCGCGGCTGGAGGTTCCTCTGTAGTAGATTCAGAATATCTAGGCAGTTGAGGAGAGTCTCAGAAAGCTTGGAGCTAGGATGCAGCATTTATTTGCAAAGGTGCGTTCCTTCTCTATCTCTGATTGGGTAAATTACAGTTGAGTCAACAAAACTCGCTGTTCCTGGGGAAGTCACACGTTTCAAAATGAAAGTGTTTGTATTTACTGTGGCTTCCGAACCATGGAATTTCCCTCCTCCTGCCTCTCGCCTTTATTCAATAAAAATGAATTAGGTTTCACTTTCCAAAACTTGGGTCGTTTCTTGAAAAACAGAACTTCATTTCGTATTTCAAAGTAGATTTTTAGAAAGGAACTTTGGCTATAATACCTCTCACTTCCTGCAAAATAAAAACAGCAGCTTATTTTCAAGTAAAAAGCTCTAGTACAATTTTAAAAATGAATATGCCTTATTATTTTAATCATTTCAGTTTGCTGCTGTAAGACATGAATAGGGAGTGTCTTACATTTATCTATTTTCTGTGTTTCAGAAATATCATTTATTTTCTCATTTTAATTCTATAAGAAGATAGGAAAGTTGTTACCTTCATTTCATGTATGAAGAATAATCTTAAAGGTTAGATAATGATGTTGGGTTACGTAGATTTGTTTCACCATTTTTTCAACTAAGATGCCGTTTTTCAACACTTCAAGCTTTTGTACTTATTTTCAGAGGATATATAATTAAAAAATATATCCTTAGTTATAGCAATTTTTCATCTTTTGTAGAAAACTTTGGAGATAGTTTAGCCAGACACTGCCCTTTGATCAAGTATTGTGTATAAGAAAATAGATTTGATCTTCTTGAACAATGTCATAAATATGGAACTTGCAAGTTTAAAACAATTCCAGAAATGCTTTGATCATAATAACATCATCAGCATAAGCAAATAGCCTTCAATAAAACAATTTCAGGAAAAATACTTCTCTTTAGGATGTCTGGTTTCTGGTGCTTATATTAGTGAACAAGTTTCATGTATTACAGTCAATTCTCAATTCCTGAAAAAAATAAGATGGCGCCTTGAATGGACGCATAGCTCTGTTAGTTCAAACTCAGCATAATAAAACTCGGCAAGATAAAAGTCCGTATCTATAGACTGGTCATATACATGATTTGAAACCTAAGAGCAGAAATCTGTCATAAGAACAATGAGTGAGTCATTGGTACTTGGAACAGGCAAACAATGAGTTTTGAGTCCCGGCTAGTTTGTTGCAAGGCCAGGAATAAAGCTAAACTTTTGGAAAAGGGAATTTTAGTGGAGTTAGCTGTGTAGAGCTAAAAGATTAAAGGAGAAGAAATGAGTCAGAGACTGATCCAGTAGAGTTTCACCTAGCAAAGAGGCTTTCTTCTCAAGTGAGTGACATGGAGAAGCCCTCCTTGCAGCTGTTTGTGGCCTAAGAATAAAATTGCTAAAAATTATGGGACTGGAGAAATAGTTGTGAGGGTAGGCTTTTGGTTTCTCACTGCACAACCCCTTGACCACCAGAGATCGCTGGACTGTAGGGTCCCGACTTATGTGGGAAGCAGGCTTTTGCTAGGGGAACCTGGCATTTCTAAGAATAGCATAGATTAATTGGCCTTGATTTGCCAGTGGCTGATGGCTTGAGACATGGGAAACAGGTGTCTTTGGGTGTCAACAATGCAAGCTTGCCTCTGCCTTAGAGCATCAAGGACAGTGCTCCAGCAACTTCTTCCTTCTCATGACAGTACCCTGCTTCCCTCCGCTACCTACTCCTCAGTGCATTGTAGCAGTCTCCCTCAGCCTCTGTTTAATCTTTGCCTTTCCTAAGAAACCTTGTCTTTTTATTTTTTATATTTATTTTTCTTTTAATTTTTTTTAAATGAATCACCATGGGGTACAGTCGCAGACTTACAAATTTTCGTGCTTACATTTCATTCATACGATGGATCAAGTGCCCATCCCTCCACCAGTGCCCGTTCTCTACCACCAATGTTCCCAGTATCCTTCCCACCCCCGCATTCCCCCTGCCCTCCGCCCATCCGCCTCTGTGACAGGCACGTTCCCTTTTACTCTCTCTCTCCTTTAGGGTTTTGTGGTCTGCAATGCAAGTATTGAGTGGCCATCATGTTTGGCCTTTAGTCTACTTTTGGCATGCATCTCCCATCCAAGCAGGGCCTCTTAACACCCTTTACTTGGTGGTCCCTTTTCTATCTGAGCTGTCTTTCCCCCCCACCCAGCATGTGAGGCTCGCTTCCAAGAAGTGGAGCAAACCTCCTTGGTACTTATCTCTATTATCCTTGGGTGTTGGTCTCCCATTCTTTTATTTTATATTCCACAAATGAGTGCAATCTTTCTATGTCTGTCCCTCTCTTCCTGACTCATTTCACTTAACATGATACTTTCCATGATGATCCACTTATATGCAAATTTCATGACTTCATCTTTTCTAACAGCTGCATAGTATTCCATTGTATAGATATACCAAAGTTTCTTTAACCAGTCATCTGTTCTTGGGCACTCAGGTTTTTTCCAGATTCTGGCTATTGTAAACAGTGCTGCAGTAAACATACAAATGCAGATGTCATTTCTACTATACTTTTTTGCATCTCAGGGATATATTCCCAAAAGTGGTACTGCTGTGTCAAATAGGAGCTCAATTTCAAATTTTTTGAGAAGCCTCCATACTGTTTTCCAGAGGGGCTGAACCAGTTGGCATTCCCACCAGCAGTGAAGGAGAGTCCTTTTCTCCCCACATTCATGCCAACATCGGTTGCTTGTATTTTTTTGGATGTGGGCCAGTGTCTGTGGTGTGAGATGATATCTCATTGTTGTTTTGATCTGCATCTCTCTGATGATTAGTGATAAGGAGCATTTTTTCATGTGCCCTTTGGCCATTTGTATTTCTCCTTTGAGAAAGTTTCTGTTCATTTCATCGCCCCATTTTCTGATGGGGTTGAATATTTTCTTCTTACAGAGTTCACCCAGTGCCTTGTATGTCCTTGATATCAACCCCTTATCAGATGGGTATTGGGTGAATAAACTTTTCCCATTCTGTAGATTGTCTTTGCATTCTGGTCACTGTTTATAGTCCCATTGAAGATAGTCCCATTTGTTTATCTCTGTTTCCACTTGCTTGGTAAGTGGCATGTCATCTTTGAAGATACCTTTAGATTCAATGACGTGGAGGGTTTTGCTACCCCTGTCTTCAATGTACTTGATGGATTCTGGTCTGATGTTGAGGTCTTTAATCCATTTTGATCTCACGTTTGTGCATGGTGTTAGGTGGAGGTCTGAGCCCTTTTTTTTTTTTTTGCATGTAGCTGTCCAGTTTTGCCAGCACCATTTGTTAAAGAGGCTTTCCTCGCTCCACTTCATATTTTTTGCTCCCTTATCAAAGATTAGATTCATATGGAACAACAACCCCCCACGAATAGCAAATGCAATTCTTGGGAAAAAGAAGATGGGAGGCATCACCTTCCCCAACCTCAAATTCTACCAGGAAATGCCCTAATATTCTCATTTTTTAAATCGTGTGACTTTCTGAATGGTTTATTAGATGTCCTTTTTCTGTTTGCTTCATGTTCGTGTCGCTTTTCCAGCGGTTTTTTTTTTTTTGGCTGCTGTTAGCATGATACATCTGCTTCTGTTCTTTAGCTATTAACCTGTTTATAAATTATTCTTTAGCAATTAACCTATTATTAATCTATTAATTCTGTTAAGCTATTAATTATGTTCATTAGCTATTAACTGTTTTTGAATCTCAGTTTTATCTTTTGTCACAAAGTGTATTATTGGGTCTTCTGGTAAAAATTCGTTCTGGGACTGGGGATGTGGCTCAGTGGCCACATTTCTGCATTTATGAAACCCATGTTTGCTTCTCAGCTTGGCCCCAAACTATCTTTTCTGCTCATATCTGGCATTTGATTTCTGCATTTGTCATTTTGTTATTTTTTTTTATTTGCTTTTCCTTTTTATGTCAGCTATTGCTACTTTTTTAGTGTTTTTTTCTGGTATACCACTTAAGTTACCTTGGGTTTTTAAAAACAGCTTTATTTTAATAAACTTGTATGCATTTAGCCTAAGGCATTCAATTTATTAAGTTGTATATTTAGAGTCATGTGTAGTCATTACTATAGTTAATTATTATTTAATGGCTCCAAAAAGAAACTTCATATGCCTTGGCCATAATCCTCCAATCTCCCACCTTACCCAACCTAAGGTAACCACTGATTTGTTTTCTCTTTTTTATAGATTTTCCTATCCTGGATATTTTCACAGGACTTGAATTTTTGCTGATTATTTGTAATATATGTATAATATTTAGGATTATTAGTGAGATCTTGTGGGTTATAAATTTAAATAATAGAGTGCAGCTTAGCACAAATTTAATTTCAATTTTTTAGGGTTTTTTGGATCACACCCTGGTCAGTGTATGGAGACTAACCTTTACCTGTTTTGCAGTTTGGGGAGCTCCTGGAAGTGCTTAGGGACCATACTGTGCCAGGATTGAACCCACACTCCCACAAGCAAAGCATAGGTTTCAGTCATTTTGCTATTTCCTAACCCAAATATCATTGCTTTAATTTTTTTCATAAGCTTTTTATTAGACCCAAGTGGTTTGATCACCCTGCTGGTAGTTAATTGCTAAACAATTTCCACTGATTATTTACAATGGAAGACTTAGGGTAGGGTATTAGTATCAAGGGAACTCAGAATTAGGTCAAATAAGTACAAACCCAGTGAATTTTAAGGAAACTTCCAGAAAAGTCAGTTTTAACAATTTTCTGTGGAGAGGATTTTTAGTGAGCTCAAAACCCATTATTTCCCCTCCACTGACTTGTAGGCAGCTTTCTGGAGTTACATAGTTGTGAAACTTACTGTTTAAGTCTACTATAGAGCACTGGATAGAGAGAATTGAATAATGAAGAATGACATGAAGCTTGCTGTTCTTACTGTCACTGTCACTGTCCTCCCGTTGTTCATTGATTTGCTTGAGCGGGCCCAGTAATGTCTCCATTGTGAGACTTGTTACTGTGTTTGGCATATTGAATGTGTCATGCGTAGCTTGCCAGGCTTTGCCATGCGGGCGAGATACTCTCGGCAACTTGCCAGACTCTCCGAGAGGGGCGGAGGAATTGAATCCGGGTCCGTCGGGTCAGCGCGTGCAAGGCAAACGCCCTACCGCTGTGTTATCGTAGTTCTTACTAATGTTTAGTAGTTCATGTTTTCTGGTAAGCTGTAATCCTTTGATTAACTTCCAGAGTTCTGAAAAGTTGCTTTTGAAAAAGTTCCAGTGTTCTTTCTTTTTTGTTTTCTAAGTCTTTTAATTTATCCCCCCCCCCCCTCCAGTCTTTATTTAGGCACTGTGATTTACAATCCTGTTAACAATAGTTTCAGGCGTTCCAACAGCATATCTACCACCAGAGTATTAGCATCCCTCCACCAAAGTCTCAAGGTCATGTCATCCTCCTTATTCAGTTCTGTAGACTGACTCCCAGGGTATCTATTGGTCATTTGTAATCCCTTACTATGTTTCTCTCTATTCCACAGATGAGAAAGATCATTCTGTATCTGTCCCTCTCCTGCTAACTGACTTAACTCAGCACAATATACTCTAGTACTGCCCATCTAGCAGCTAATTGCATGATTTCATCTTTTTTCTTAATGCTGAATAGTATTCCTTTGTGTATATATACCACAATTTCTTTATCCTCTCATCTGTTTTGGGGCACTTGAGTTGTTTCCAGATCTTGACTATTTGAATTGTGTGGCAGTGAACTCCTGGCTTTTATAGGGGAGTGGATTTTCATTCTTGCACAGGGGCCATGCTAATCTCTGTATCGTTCCAATTTTAGTATATGTGCTGCTGAAGCGAGCACTGGAGTGGATTTTCAAAGAGCCTTATTCCACTATCACAAAAGTGCTTTCTATGGTTATTTTTCTGTTTTCTTTTTTTAGGACAAATTTACATATACTGAAAAGTTTGCATTTTAAGTATACCATCAGATGAATTTTCCAGATATTTATACTTATATAAACCACCCCTATCAACTTAAACATTTTTCAGTAGTAGAATACCTGGGGAGTTGACTTAGTAACCAGAATTTTGTCTTCTGAGCATAGACTCAAAACAGAGGACCCTTATCTTATTTTAAATGGAGAGTTGCTCAGGTGACAAATATTAATGTGATCAATATGGAGAATTCAGGGGAAAAAATAATCAGACTTTTAGAGACAAATTAAGCCAACTGTTGTTATTCCACAGCTAGCCACTCTTACATAAATAACATGAATAACAACTAAATTATAACTTTTTTTATAATTTATTTTTTCCCCTTTTTTTGTAGGAGTACTGCTATTTATTCAGCCACTGATTAGCTGATTGAATTGTGCATGAACTCCACCTTACTTTTTTTTTTCTTTTTCCATTTTTTATAATTTTATTTATTGAATCACTGTTAGAGCAGTTACAAAACTTTTGGGTCTAAGTCTCAGTCATACAATGAAACACCCGTACCTTCACCAGTGCCCATTCTCCACCACCAAAAATCCCAGTATACCCCCATCCCACACCCTCCCCCTGCCTATGGGGCAGATGATTTCTACATTACTCTCTCTACTTTGATCACATTCACTATTTCGACACCAGACCCACCATTATTTAAGATTTTACCCCAACACTCAGATCTGCTGAAAAGTCAACAATAGACAATTTGTGTTCTATTGCTGGTTATGAATAACATATGATGTCGTGTGGCTGCAGTAGGGCCATGTGGTTTTGAAATTCTGAAATTTTAACACTTAAATCTGGAGGGATTTCTGCCAAAAGCCACTGGGTTTAGAGATCTGCTCCTGAGTCTCTGGGATCATGGCCGTTGAGTAGCTTGATGAGGAGCCAAAGAGGCCATTCGTGGGCGATGACTTGGGGTCTCACTGGGGTGGGGAAGACAGGCCCGGCTCCACTCCCCCCCCCCATCCCATGAGACCCAACAAGTTTTGTCACTGCGGGCCCAAGCCTGACTGTCCAATGGCTTCTGGAGGATGACAGCCACCAAGTCGCCAAGAGGGAGCAGGCGGAGGGACAGCACCCATTCCCCCCTGGGGTGGCCCAGCGACAGTAACCTACTGCGGGGTCTGGACACATTTCTGACAAAAGCCGCTGGGTTTCGAGATTTGTTTCTGAGTCTCTGGGATCAAGGCCGTTGAGCAGCTTGATGAGGAGCCAGAGAGGCCGTTTGTGGGCGATGACTTGGGGTCTCGTTAGGGTAGGGAGGACAGGCCCGGCTCCACCTCCCCCCCCATCCCGTGAGACCTAACAAGTTTCGTCACTGCGGGCCCAAGCCTGACTGTCTAATGGCCTCTGGAGGATGACAGCCACCAAGTCGGCAAGAGGGAGTAGGCGGAGGGACAACACCCTTTCCTCCCTGGGGTGGCCCAGCGACAGTAACGTACTGTGGAGTCTGGATGCATTTCTGCCAAATGCCACTGGGTTTTGAGATTTGTTTCTGAGTCTCTGGGATCATGGCCGTTAAGCAGCTTGATCAGGAGCCAGAGAGGCCGTTTGTGGGCGCTGACTTGGGGTCTCATTGGGGTGGGGAGGACAAGCCCGGCTCCACCCTCATCCCGTGAGGCCCTGTGTGTCTCGTCACTGGGGGCCCAAATGTGACTATCCAGTGGCCTCAGACGGATGGCGGCCACTGGGCCGCCAGGGGGAATAGGCCAAGGCACGAAACCTATTCCCACCTGGGTTGGCCCAGCACCGGTAGCCTACTGCAGAGACCAGATGCATTTCTACCTAATGCCACTGGGTTCTGAGATTCGTTTCTGAGTCTCTGGGATCATGTCTATTAAGCAGTTCAATCAGGAACCAAAGAGGCCTTGCCTCCAATTATATAGCTGAGCCAGAGGTGGTTTGTGGGTGTGTTTCCCACATACCTAACTTTTGGCCGTTTACTTTCTTGGTAAACTTTGCCCCAAGTTTTTGGGGTCTGGCCAAAGGCACAGCAGCAATTTTGGGGTATCTGGAAGTCTGAAGGCGCCATGAGGCTGCTGATGCAGTTGCCTCACAGGTACAGATTGACCTGCTGGCGGCACCATACCCCCTTTTTTTTATAATTTATTTATTAAATCACTGTGGGAAAAGTTACAGAGCTTTCAGGTTTAGGTTTCAGTCATGTAAATATCAAACACATTTCCCTTTACCAATACTTATTTTTTCCCACGAACCCCAATAGAACCCCACCTCTCACCCCCTCCCAATTCCTGTGAGGCAGATGAGTTCTAGTTAACTCTGTATTCACATTGACTAGATTCATTGTTTCGATAAAAGATGCACCATTATTATTTAGATTTTACCCACCCCCCATCAGACATGCTGAAAAAGTGTTGTGAAATGATTTGCTTTCTACAGCTGGGTTTAAGAATTAAATGTTGTCACGCGGCCACAATAGCGGCCGCGCAGTTTTGGATTTCTGCTATTTTACTTATTAACCCTGGATGTATTTCTACTAAAAGTCAGATAATTAAGAGATTGGTTTCTGTGCTCTGGAGTCGTGGCCGTGCCGGAGAGCCGCTCGTGGGGGGCAACTGGTGACCTCGGTAGGGCGTGAAGGACGGGCCAGAATGCCCCACTTCCCATGAGGTTTTTGTCGCCCCTGACCCCCGGCTCATACCCGCTGTCCACAGGGCTCCCGTGTGGCCGCCATCTTTCTTTCCAGCATAACTCTTTTGATAGTTATACTTATTCTAGTTTTTTGCAAGGCTTTGGCTTTTAATGTATTCACTTATGTATTCACTCTGAGTTTAGTTTCTAAAGAAAATTAGTTAGGCCCAAGCCAGGCTATTTTATTAGGGGCAATCTGGAGGGGGGCGGGTCAGGACCCTCCCCACCCCAATGGAGCAAGCCTCAGCAACCAAAAGCCTCCAGAACTCAACCCTGCTGTGTTCACGGCCACTCTCCACATGCTCGGGCCAAGCTACACCCACAAGTGGACCTATTCCTGGACATCTCATACTTAACCACTAATATTCCAAGAGTAGCACACCACATTTTATGGTGTTTAAAGTAGAATTCAACCAAAATAAATAAATAAAGTAGAAAGCGACCAATCTTAGGGGAAAATATATTTTTACAGATACACACACACACACACACACATAAAAGCACACAAGGCTCAGCCTTTAACTACATATTAGTAATCTCTTATAGAAGGGCTTAATGGCTCCTGGGTGAAACAAAGCAATCTTCATACACTTTCCTCTGAGAAACCTTATTTGGATCGTTTTTAGCAGATTATTCATAACAAAGAATACAAAATTATTTCGGTCTGCTTCGGAGAGCCCAGCAACCTACTGAGAGTATCTCGCCCACACGGCAAAGACTGGCAACTACCTGTGACATACTCGATATGCCAAACACAGTAACAACAAGTCTCACAATGGAGACGTTACTGGGCCCGCTTGAGCAAATTGACGCACAATGGGAGGACAGTGCCACAGTGCTACAGTGCTTTGGAGGCAGAGGTTGGGGTTCGGGATGGAAACATTCGAAATACAGTGGTAGAAAGGTGTAATGGTGGCGGGATTGGTGTTTGAATATTAAATGTAATCAAATATTGTAAACTAGTTTATAAAAATAAAATTTAAAAGGACAGAAAATGAGTTTAGAAGTGGTGCTAGCAAAACTGGATAGCTATATGCAGAAACTTAGGCTCAGACCTCTATCTGATACCATGCACAAAAGACAGATCAAAATGGATTAAAGACTTTAACATCAGACCAGAATTCATAAGGTACTTGGAAGAAAAGGCAGGCAAAACCCTCCACAATATTGAACCTAAAGATATCTTTAAAGATGAAATGTCTCTGACCAAGCAAGTGGAATCAAAGATAAACAAATGGAACTTCCTTAAACTAAAAAGTTTCTGCACCTCAAAAAATATATAGTGACCAAGATACAAAGACAGCCTGTGGAACATGAAAGTTTATTCACCCAATACCCTTCTCATAAGGGGTTAATAATAAAGATATACAAGGCACTGGTTGAACTTTACAAGAAAAAAACATCCAACCCTGTCAGAAAATGGAGCAATGAAATGAACAGAACTTTCTCAAAGAAGAAATTTGAATGGCCAAAAGGTACATAAAAAATGCCCTTCATCACTCCTCAACAGGGATGCAAATCAAAATAATGAGATATCATCATACACCACAGAGACTGGCACACATCCATAAGAAAAGAGTGCTGGCCTGGATACGTGGAAAAAGGGATTCTCCTTCATTGCTTGTGGGAATGCTGACTGGTCCAGCCCTTTGAGGAAACAATATGGACATTCCTCAAAAAACTAGAAATTGGGTCCCATTTGACCCAGCAACACCACTTCTGGGAATATGCTCTGGGGGCCCAAAAACACACAACAGAAACACTATCTGCACTCCTATGTTCATTGCAACACTGTTCACAATAGTCAAAATCTGGAAACAACCTGAGTGCCCAAGAACAGATAACTGGATGAAGAAATGATGGCACATCTACACAGTGGAATATTATGCAGCTATTAGGAAAAATGAAGTCATGAAATTTGCCTAAAAATGGATGGACATGGAGAGTATCATGCTGAGTGAAATTAGGCAGAGGAGAGGGACATACAGAATGACTGCTTTCATTTGTGGCATATAAAATGCTAAAAGACTAATATCCACGGTCAGAGAAAATGGGCTAGGAGGAATGGTCACTGGTTAGAATCAGCCACAAGTGTGTTTGGGGCAGAGGGTAGATAAGATAGAGAAAGGGACAACGGTTTGACAATAGTAGCTGGAAATGGCCACGTTGGACAAGAACTGAATGCTAAAAGTATGTAGGGGATATTCCTGATAACCT